AATTAAACTTTATGCAAACTTCTCGATCTCTAAACTCTAATGCAAATTGAATAAATAAATAAATAAAAGTAGAAAGTATCTTCTTTGGATTAAATGTGTTGGACAAAAATGGTAGTTACCTCTTTTGCGTTCTTCATTGAAAAAAGCTTTTGAAGATTTTTTGTTAAAAAAAATTCAAGATAATACTAAAATAAACACGTTAAATTGAAAAAAAATGTTTTACAAAATTTTAAGAACCTTTTACCAAACACACCCTTTAACTGAAATTTATTATCACAAGAAACATTCACTTTGACATGATCATATACATCTTTAGTCTGATATTAGCCTTCAAGCATCTGAAATACACCGTGATTAAAAATGATGTAGCATTCCTAATAGAAAATAACGATTCCTCCCGATAAATAAATTTGTTTAAGTTTTTTTACCTAAAGAAGTCCCGCTCCAACTGTCCAATATTGACTAAATAAATTAAAGACATATAATTTCTTATCCCTTTTTCATAATACAAAAAAATAATCTTACAAAATCTTAGAGCCCGTTTGGACATAAGTTTTTTTTTTCCCTTTTTTCTAAACTTTTTTCCTTTTTTCCGAAATCAGCGTTTGTTCATAAAATTTTCAATTTTCACTTGAAGATGCATTTTGAAAATTTGGAGAACTCCAAAAAGCTATTTTTCAAATTTTTCACTCAAACCACTCACAAAACTTTAAAAACAACCCAAAATTATATTCATGTCCAAACACAACTCTAAATTTCAAATACAATTTTCACTTGAAATTGTTTTTACCTTTTTTTTTTAGAATTTTACAATTCTTATGTCCAAACGCCCACTTAGTGTTTTATTTTAAAACTTTCGGAAATTTGATATAAAATAATAAAAAAAATATAATGAATGCACAAAATCAATTCACAATGGCTGATGAGCTAGCTGCTTTCAGTTGAGGTGGAAAGTGTTAGGTGTTTGCCATAATTTTCTTACCATATTTGATTTTCTTATTTGTTGAAGGAAAAGGGCGATATAATTACCTTAATTGGGTTTTCTTTTTTGTAGAAGGAAATTATAAATCTCCAATATTTGACTAATCCTTTTTCTTGTAGGAAGAAGTTTGGACTTCTATAAATTGAGGATCATTTCCTTCTCATTCAGTAGCATCCACAATGTAGCGATAAGAGGTTTGAGAGTCTTGTTTAGGGGGGGAACTTTTCGGGGCAAGTGTTAGTATGTCACTTGTGTTTGCCTCTTCGTGAGGTTGTTCTCTCGATATTTTGTACTCTCTTTTTATTATAGTGTATTGCTCATCCCCGCCGCGGATGTAGGTCAATTGACTGAACCACGTTAAATGTTTGTATCTCTTTTGGTAGATTTCTCTTTGTTGTGTGATTTATCGTCGTTCAAGATTTGCTTTTCTAACTTCCGCATGACACCTGATTTTTTATCACAACAAGTGGTATCAGAGCGAGGTTGAAGACAGGTTCATCTTGGCGGGTTCAGTTCTAGCCGTAACATATTTGACGATAATCGTAATTTTTGCCTAAGAAATTTGACCGGTGTGCTATGCAGTTGAGACAAACTTCGTGGTGGAGATTTGGCTAGTCCTTTTTCTTGTAGGAAAAGATTTGGACTTCTATAAATTGAACATCCTTCTTCTCATTCAGTAGCATCCACAATGTAGCAATAAAAGGTTTGAGAGTCTCGTTTAGAGGGAGAATTTTTCGGGGCAATTGTTAGTATGTCACCTGTGTTTGCCTCTTCGTGAGGTTATTCTCTCGATATTTTGTACTCTCTTTTTATTATAGTGGATTGCTTATCTCTGCCATGGACGTAAGTCAATTGACCGAACCACGTTAATTGTTTGTCTCTTTTGTTAAATTTCTCTTTGTTGTGTAATTTATTGTTGTTCAAGATTTGCTTTTCTAAACTTCAACATGACACCTAATTTTTACCTCCTATAGCAAAGGTTAACATCTTATTTATTTTAAATAAATACCATCTAAAAAAAAATTATATTCTATAGATACATTTTAAGGTTTATAGCAAATATTTAATTTTGGTTACCTCCTAACCCTAAGCCACTAAATATGCTATTCAGTTACACTATTTTCTTTCTCTCTCTACTTTGATACATCTCATTCTCTTCCCTCATTTCCGGAAAACACAATGCTCAATTTCAAAATTCCTCTCGCCCACACCATTTTCTTTTCATTCCGATCAATTCTTAGCACCGAATATTGTTTTGCGATAGCAAATCAAATCCCTAACCAAAACTAACTGATTTGGGAAAGGGAGTTAACCAACGTTTGAACTTTGACAGATTTGGAAAAGGGAGTTAACCAACCTTTGAACTTTCCCAAAACTAACTGATTTGGTAAATGGAGTTTTCTTCTCACTCTTTTGGTTGATCACGTAGTAGCGTATTCCTTCTTTGTTCCGAAATGAAAGTGAACGTTGACGGAGATACTGGTGGTTCTCCGCCATCGACGACGGCGACAGTCACTGTGGCGATAACAGTTAAAAGTGTCGAAGGCAAAGGTAGTCAACGCGGTAGCAGGTAATGAAAAAGGTGTCGCATGTTGTACCTTCAAATTTCAAAGGTGTCGCGTGTTGTACCTTCAAACGTTGCTACGGCAGATTCGCCGGAAATTAAGGTTTGTTCTTGAACAAAGATGACGGAGTTTGAGGCTGAGCAACTTGATTTTCTGTTAATATATTTCGATGTATTTTCATTGTATTCATTGTCTTTTTTTCATTGTAATTCAATGTATCTCGTTGTATTCCATGTATTTCATTGTATTCACTGTTTTTTTCATTGTATTTCAATGTATCCTGCTGTATTCTATGTATTTCATTGTATTCGCTGTCTCGCTATATGCCATGAATGTATTCATATATTTTTTAATTAATATAATTTATGTATTCAGATGTATTATATAATTTCTCTGAAGATTGCTATGTTTTTTAGGTATTTTTCGGTTGAGAATCTTTTTTATAACTGAAAATACAAAATTTGTGTGTTATAATTGAGTTTGTTGAGTTATATTAGGAGTCTATTATGTTAATTGATTCACTTTCCGTTTTAAAAACAGTGTAATCCCTTATTTTACGCCGTAAATACAGTCGAATACAATAATCTGTCCAGCTGTAATCCCACATTTCACTCCATGAATACAGTTGAATACACTCAAATACAACAACTGATTAGCTGGACTTCCCTGATTCACGCCTATTTTTGCTACTGCATTCATAATGCAATAGCTTAAATACATCAAATACATCTTATAACCACAAAAAAGTATCTATAATACATAATATAGCAAATGCTATGTATAGATTGGGTAATTACACTTCTCTCTTTTTTTTTTTTTTTTTTTTTTTTTTTTTTTATCATAACAACAACTCCGCCATACTTTACTCCGAGAACTTTGTATTAGGGTGGGAGACTCAAACTGAAATCGGAGGTTACTTACATCACACCAACCCCTCTTGTCAAACACAAAGTTCAAAATCGCAGAGGCTAGTAATATTGTCCTTACATCAATATATATTTTCAATTCAATTTGTTAAGAAAGTCATTGTCCAGTCGTGAAGCACAGAATTCACAGATCGGCGGCGAGTAAAAAAGAAAACACAAAATAAAGAAATGGAGAAAGAAATGGAGGGAAAAAGCGATACCGATAATCGGAGTACAATAACGGTGAATGTTAAGTTCAGCGGCCGATCGTTGCCGGTGGAAATCTCCGACGAGTCCACCGTCAAAGACCTCAAGTCTCTACTTCAACCTCTCACTAATGTCCTCCCTCGCGGCCAAAAACTCATCTTCAAAGGTTACATTCTCTCAATACAACCCTATTAATTTTTTTTAAAGAAATCAGTGAATTAACTGGGTACAAGTTTTAAGAAAATCAGAAAGAGTGTAGGCTAAAAATAAGCCAAGACTTTTCTTTGGTTATATATATGGTAAAATGAGAAATTTAAAGTTAAAAATTCTTTGTAACTAAGTGTCATTTGAATTTGATAGTTGACATAATTTGTGTGTTTTTTCATGGATAGGGAAAGTATTGGTGGACGAAATGACATTGAAGTCCTCGGAGGTTGTAAATGGTGCCAAGATCATGCTTATGGCTTCCCAGGGCTTACACCAAGGGGTAATTCTTGATTTTCCTATACACTACTTTATGATTTATCTAACGGATGGATGTAGAGTTCAAACTTATGGGTTCATCGGAACCCAATAGTTTTGACTCAGGACCTTGTATATATTCACTAAATAAGTACAACTAATAGATTTCAAACTAGTAAATTTGATGAGTTGTGGTAGGATCTTGAACTCAAAACAAATCTTGGATCCACCTATGATTTTTCTCTGTTCTTTTCCTTCAATTTTGCTAATAACTTTTTTTGATGGCTTACAAACTATTAGGGATTGGGGCTATGTTGTGGTGGTACCCTTAGTTTGTTTACATATGTTTATATCGTTAGCAAATGTAGAGAACCTCTAGTATTAGAAATCCTTTGATTTGTCATAAAAGACAATCTATTGATTGCTAGAATGAAGTGGGTCTACGTGGAGCAGAATGGATATTGAATTATAGGAGACTGCAACTAGTTTGGGATTGAGGTGTAATTGATTGAGTGTTTATCATTTGATCCAATAGCATTCCGTTAGATAGGAATAGAATTGATAAATACTGATAACTCTCGGATAGAGTATTAGAATGGAAAGATCCATTAGATATTGATTCTAAGCCATCCCTGACGATTAATCGACAACTCAAAGTGCTTTTCTTGATAAACCAGCATTTGTATATAGATGTAAGAGGATTTGTTTGGGAAGTAAGAAGCCCTTTGACATTTCTTCATCTGCAAATAATTCTCGATGTTAAAACACAAAGCTAGGGGACTAATCTTTGAATAGGAAAAAGAGTGGATCTGCCGGGTCTCGGATGAATTGGCTTATTCGAAAAAAGCCTTGTTGTTTGGAAGATCTATCTCGTGTTTGGTACTAATTGGTCGGTTCTACTCTGCAAGAAATCCGAATCATTCTCTTGTTTTTTGGTGGGCTTAAATAGACGTGTGCTTGTGTTGCTGGATTTTTTTATAAATTTGAAAAAACCAGAATTTTCGTGTAATTAATGCAAAAAATAAATTAAAAAACCTGTGTAATTCAACCTAGCTAGATCCTGAACTTTTTGTTTTCTATATCAGAAAGTGAATTAATCCACAAATGGCAGCTTTTAAATCTGATGTCTTGAGTTATTTACCTGTTTGTGTATATTGAATAGGATGGACCAATAAGAAAGGAAGCTTTCACATTGCCCTCAATGAGGATGCCTGAAGCTACGAGACCGAAAAGAGACGTTCCTCAGGTTCCCATTTTGAAGAGCCAACTTGAACGGTGGAAGGCTACTGGCGTCATTGCTCTATCAGAATGCAATCTGAAGGTAAGATGAGATGTAACTGACTTTGCTTTGCCAATGACTTTGAACCTATTCTTGCCATGACCGATCTTTATTGTGATGGGACGAGATACAATGGTTGAACTGGATGCACTTTGATTCAATCGTACATATTGGAGTCAACCTAAAATTAGTAGTATTATTTTCTCTATTTTTTTCCCTTTTCTCCTTTCAATTCATTTCATCTAAATTATATCTAATATATTTTTCTGGCTTGACTAGGTAGATAGCCGGGCTATGTCCTTTCCTTTCGTAATCGTAATGCAAAACTGATCACTGGAATAGATATCCCTAGTATCTTTAGAAAGCTCTTAGGTGTGAGTCCACCAGTACTACAGTCTAACCTTCTATGAAACAAAAAACAAAATTCTACTTCCCTCCACTATGGATAGAAGTGCAAAAACAGATGGAGTAATATGTCGTGTAGATTTCATATATTTGCTTAGAATCAAGCAAAATGACTCTATGGCATATTTTGTCCCAATTAAAATTTTTGGCTGATAGATGGATTGTATATAATTCATTTGTTGGGAGCTTGGAGGATTAAAAGCATAATTTTCCTAATATTTGGAAACCAAAATTTTCTCTTTCCAGTTGGTATGTCTAACTCTTTCATCTGTTCAACTTGTTTGTTGCAAACCCAAAACCAAAATAACCACCCAATATTTCTCAGTTGCAAGACAATAATTTTACTTTTTATCCCAAAAAGATGCAAGCTAACCAGAGAAAACCAAAAGAGGATAATCAGATGGTTCAAACTTGTGAATAAATGTTGGATTAGTACCGGAGAGAATATTTGGCCCGCACTGCTCAGATGAAATCCCATTATATATCACTTATGTGTGTACATATTGTGTATCAAGAATGAGAATATAACAACTGTCAAATGGTAAATGTTCTCTTAGCCAAGTAGTGGAACCGGGTTTGATTCTCTTTGTTCGGCCAAGATAATTTATCTGTTTTCCATTAATTTTATAATAGCATTACATGTATCCTTTAACTACATTACCAGGTGATTTTATTTTTTATTTTACTTTTACTATTTTTTTTCTTCTTGAAGATATTATTCTCATTACTCACTGGAACTTGATAGGCCCTGCCTGGTGAAGTGCTGACTTGCGGACCTTCTGCAAGAGTTCTTGATCTCAGCCACAACTTGATACAACATATTCCAGCCGGGATTAATAACTTGAGTTCTCTTCAGGTATGTTGAGCTGCCTACTTTACACTTCTTTGAAATTGCTATTGATTTACTACTTTGTGCTAGAAATTTATTTTGGTATTCTTTCTGCTTCCCAGAAATTGATCCTCAATGGAAATGAAATTATGGATAATTCCTTAAGCTGGGAAGGGCTATCTTCTTTAAAAAGTCTTATGGTTCTTTCTTTGAACCAAAACAAGTAAGTCCCACCTGTTCCTTACAAAATTCCCTCCATTGAATGAATAACAATGAAATCTGCTACCCCTTTGGATGAGACGACATAAAAGATAACTTTGACATCTACTTTTTGTTTTATTAACTTTTAATATCCTTGCTATACAATCGTTACTGACTTCCAATTCTCTTCTCACTTGATTATAAAGAGGCTACTTACTTACTACATCTTTCTCTAACCCTCTTATCAGCATTATGTACTTATGTAGTTATGTTAGCCTGTCTGTTGCTTGATGCATGAAACCTTTCATCTCGCTGTTGTAAAAGTAGTGATAGTTTGCTTTGTCATTCTCTTGAATTAAAAACATATATAAAAGAAGGGGGATGTGAAAATTATAAAATATCTACTTTAACTTTTAAAAAAGGATAAAATTATAAAATCTCTTTGATCATTATTAAACGAAGTATAAATTTTCTTCCATGTATAGTTCAAAACTAAAAAAGAAAAATTTGTTCACGTTTTTCTGTCGAATATACTTGTTTCTTTGGATTTTTATGAGTATTTATTGATAGCAAGTTACTTTTGGAGAACTTATGAAAACGTATCTCGAGATTGTCTAAGATCATGGTCAGTCAAATATTTAAGTAGGTTTACTTTTACATATTAATTTATACTAAGTTTATTTGAAATGTGTCATATGTCATGCAATGATTGGCTGTTTTCTATTTCAATGATAAATTGTTTTCAAAAAAAAATTATGGAGCTTTTTAATTGGGACTTAAGGTATTTTGTTTCAAGTGCCGAATCTGGTCATCAGACATCCCCTTAGGTATAGTAAAAAAACATTCTACTGTGTTCTTGATCAAATATACATTCTAATTTGTAATATTCATCACTTTTACTTACTAGCAGTTCATGATCAGATGTATTGGAATGGAAGAGATGTTCTTAGTGGTAAACATTTTGAAGGTTTGCACAGATAACTGAATGCAGTTAGACTATGGATATGAGTCCAAATACTGCTTTTTGGCAGAATTGTGTCAAGTCAAAATATAATCATAAAACTGCATTATTTATTGACCTGGACTCAAACGTGAATGAGAATTGAATAAAGCTGTCAATCGTTGATACACAAAAGTCATGGTATTGATTTTGTTTGGTCAGTGATATTCAGATGATGTTTCGTGTTACATTTTTGTTTTCAGATACGGCATACTCTGTTTACCAATCTCAACCATTTGACATGTGCATTATTTCCGTTTAAAGGACTCTTGTATCATTATGTCAACTAGTATTTTCTTTTTGGAATGATTTATGCAGCGTTGCAACACTGCCTCCTGAGATTGGGGCTTTGACCAGTTTGAGACAGCTTTATGTTGCACATAACAAGTTAACATGTCTCCCATCTGAAATAGGTCTGTTGACTGGCCTTGAGGTTTTGAAACTTAACAACAACAGGTAATATGAAGTGCTTGAAATTTTGATTTTTCATAAGTTTACTTATCATAATTTCTAGTGTTGAGCTTTTTTTCTCAACCTTTTCCTGTGGACATGGATGTTTAGGGAATCAGTTTATTTTTTTGTTATCTTATATTTTTCTTAACAATTATAAGAGCCAACATTCTAGATTTGTAAGCTTAAACTTCCAATTGCAGGATACCCATTATTCCGGAAAGTATAGGGGGCTGTGCTTCTCTGATTGAGGTAGAAAAAGGGTTTATTTTCCCTTTAGTCATTTGTCTATTTTTCTTGCATTAATTGGAATAATGAAATTCAAAATATCGGCTAAAACAAGATCCAGCATTTAATGGTTTATGTGATGTTACCTTATGTACATATAACCTGATTCATCATGGTGTAGGTTGATCTTTCATCTAATCTTTTGGTGGAGTTGCCAGAAACAATTGACAAACTAAAGGATTTAAAGGTTCTGTATTTTTGTCTTTTCTCTCACATCCCTGTTATGCAATCTTTTCATTTGAAGTGTGTTTTGAAGATTTCAGTTTATAGTAACGGCTGACAAATGACTAGATGTGCTCAAGTACTCGTTGANAGTTTTACAAAGCCCCTTATCGGATTTGAACCGATGACTTACGCCTTACCATGGCGTTACTCTACCACTGAGTTAAAAGGGCCTTTTTGATTTAATTCCGGAATTATTCACTATGTGGATAAAATATCTATAGGTACATATATTATAAACATAAGTATATATGCATAAGTACATGCAGTAGATACATAGTGTCTAGTGGCTCATTGTTGAATAATAAAATGGATTTACCTAGGAAGTCTAGGAGAAAATGCAATGAATTGTTTCAAGACCGACTCGAATTGCTTTTTTTCTTTTATTGAATTGATCCCACCAGAACAAAATTCACTTGATTGATACATGTACATACACCTAGCAATTCAACATAAAATTCAAGATATTTCATCGAATCATGGAATGAAGAGATTCTACTTGTCTCCTGAACTAAATTCTTGGAGAAAAAAGAATTTGAGTAACCACAAAGTAAGGGCAGCCCTAAGCTACCGCTATGCGCGGGGTCTGGGAAAGGGCCGGAAGAGTAACCACAAAATATCAGTGAATAATTTAACATACAAGGAGCTATCTAAAATAGATCATGACATGCATTGACATGTATATACTAGAAGATTCAACTATGCCATTTTAAACCAAGCTGAGTGATCTACTGCCACAATCTGCTGTTTTTATTAGTAATACACTGTTTTCTTCACTAAGAGCGCAACACGTGATGTGTGGGTTAGGCGCAAGTCACAAGTTTGAACCCTTCCACATACAAAAGTCTATTTAAGTGGAGAAGGGTAGAGAGACAGACTCATTATCCACCGAGTTTCGAACTGTGTCTTTTTGGCAAGACGTGTCGCGCACAAGTTTCTCCAATTTGTTAACAATTTCTCTAACATCTTTCATGTGATGGCCTCTTTTACCTGCACAGTGTGCTTCTGCCCAGTTATTTGCGTGGTTCATGTTCTGATTACTGTGCAGGCACTTTATCTTAAAAACAACGGGCTCAAATCCCTCCCTAGCAGCATATTCAAACTGTGCACCGAACTCTCAATACTGGATCTCCATGGCACTGAAATAACCATGGATGTTCTCCGCCAGGTATTCAATTTTTTACTACATCATGTTGTGACCTATTTTGGTTTGCCTCTCACAATTTCCAAACCTCACAGCTTGAAGGATGGGAAAATTTTGATGAGAGAAGACGCTCGAAACATCAGAAGCAATTGGAGTTCAGAGTGATCAGCTCAGCCAAATTTGATGAAGGAGCTGATAAAAGCTGATAGGCCAGAACATTGAAGACTAGTGAATGAGATGAATTCCAGTTCAATATACCAAAAGTTTGCAATTCTATCGTGATACAGTGAAAATGTTTGGCGCAGTTCCAAGAAAACGAATGAAAATTTCTGAAGAGATTTTATTTTTACACGTAAAATAAATTAAACACAAGAGATCTTAAATTTAAGCCCAAGAGTTTTTTGTCAAATCTCCAAAAGAAAACCAAGCCCATCTATAACCAGTTATGTTCACATCAATCTAAGGATGTGATCTAGTGATAAATAAAGTGGACGCAAATGCTGGAGATAAAGGTACCAATTCCAGTGGAGAAAGAAAAATATCATTAGCCCTGTCCAAATTTATGTAGTTTTCCTTTCTAGTCTGTTCAAAAAAAAAAAATTAACACTTAAATTTTTTTTATCCTTAATGAGATGATTTACACGAAATTCAAATGGTTATTTAGACCACAAGTTCTAAAGAATTTCTTTTCTTTCTTAATCTCTATGGTATCATATAAATTGGGACAGAGGGAATAACTAGTTTCTTTTCCATCTGCCTAAACTTCAATGGGCAGATATACCCAACACTCGTTCTAATGAGATATAGCAGCTACCTTGTGAAAAAGTCGAATTGTGCACAAACTAGCTGGAATACCACGGGTAAGAAAAAACCAACTTTTAATTTATAGCACTTAAGTCAGAGAACTAATTTCTCTAACGTAAAATAAGTTAAAACTATGCCTATATATTGTATAAAATCAAAACACCGAAAAATGCTTAATCCTAGCTGCCACATGTATAAAATATCATGTAAGTTGTAGACACGTCAACAATCAATTGTTTAAACCGGAGTCAAAGATAGCAGAACAATAACTGAACATAACGCATACTATATGCAACAGGAAAGTAGGTTCAAAATATTGGGCACCATCAATTAATATACGAGGATCAGAGTTGCTATGAAAAGAAATATCCCCGTGTGTCTTACATTATTATAACATCGTGACAGGAGGATAGCGCATACAAGTTGTATGATCCTAAACTTGGAACAAATAGTGCAATGGATAACCAAGAAAATTTAACGGAAATATACGGATACCAGAGGAATATCAACATCGTTATCTTCATCATCTTCACACGCAACAACAACATCCAAGTGACGGCGATATGGTGGTAGCTCCACCTTGGCCACGTCCCTCGCCAAATCTACTACCCTCTTGTCCATTCGTTCCTTGTGCCGGGGAAACATGCTGTTAAACAGCAGGCAGCTTCCACATGAAATGCTGTAAGCATTCAGTCCCTTGTCTGCAAGCCATTGGATTAGTTCTCTCAATGTAGGATTGTCCTTGATGACCCACCTATCCCAAACAGTCCAGCTCATATCTTGATGTTTGACAACCTTGGGTGGCACTGGCTCAGCCATGGAAAAGAGAGGTAGAGCAAGGTTGGCAAACGTGTTCCGGTAGTCCTCCAGTTTGTGGCCCCCATCAAGAACCTTGTACAGCTCAAGGCAAACCAAACCCGTTGCCATTGCAGTAGTAGTCGCGATTGCAGGAATGATCCTCCCCGCAATAAACTTAGCTTTCAGTTTGTCAACTTCCGGGATACTGTAGTTTCTTGCTCTCATGTTAGCAAGTGCAGCTATAAGGTCCATGTGATAGTTAGTGTCATCGTCCTGCTCAACATCAACAAAAACATCAGTAGGCGAAGTAATCTATCTGAAACTCATGCAATTTATAAGCTACACTATTAGGAGGAATTTTGATGCAAAAAGAATACACAATATTCAAGTTGGAATATAACGAAATTGAGACCTTCTCAAATTGAATAGGTTTCATCCGGAAGCCTGGTGTTAGATTCTTCCGATAGTGCTCCAGCTTTGATATAAGTTCATCGATGACAGCAGCATCATCTATAGAAGCTGTAGAGAGACTAGTCGCCTTCTCATCAGTCACAATTTTGGCATCTTTTTTCGGTTGAAAATCTGGGACCATAACCTTGTCCACTGCTTCACTCAGTTTCTTCGGGTGCTTAGCCCAATCGGGAATAGGTATACCAAATGTCTCAGCACGTAAAATGGATGCAGCCATGATAAAATGGAGATGACTAGGGTCGGTAGAAGAGAACTGCAAGGGATGAGGGAAGCGCTTAGGGGCAGACCAAAAGGGGGCTCCAGAACTGGTCATAGAATCCTCAGGGAAAGTGAAAATCAGTTGTTTTACTCGGTTCGCAAAATAATCTTCAAACCTGGAAAAAGAACAAAGGTCAGAAACTGCAGAGATAAAGGCACCATTATGATAGTTAAACACAATGAAAGAAAAATGGTATCACGTATTACTTTAGGCGTGCCCATGCAATGCAATCTTCAAAAGTTTCACAGCTTTCTCGATCAAGGCACTCCAGAACACGCTCCAAATTGTCTCTGGCTTGAGCATCACCGGCATTTGTTTGTGCAGATGTATATTCACTTGGATTAGAAAGATAAGCATTAACTTCGGCTGGTATTTTCTCAAGCAGACCCTCAAATTCGGACCGTGCCCATGTCAAACAATGATCAATATTATGTGGGAAGGAGTGCAAAGTGCACATTGGTGCTTGTTTCTCTGGAGGATCTCTTGATGCACCATAATTCTCAGTCAGATGGGGAATCACCATCTGAGTGTTACATTTGGCACCAAGGGTTCCTGATTCAAGCAGTGGCTTCTGAAAGTACAAGCATCTCTGATCGACATAAAGTCTTGCATTGATATTGTCAAGTGCATTAATAACCACACTAAGATTCTCCCAGAAAGTGTCATCAAACACATTTTCAGTTTCAGGACCCACACGGTTCTGCAAAGCTTCAACTTGAAGCTGGGAATTTATCGATGCTGCAGCTGTAGCAGCAACAGTGGATTTTGCCTGGCCAATGTTCCAATCACGGAAGAGAAATTGTCTACTAAGGTTACTCTTCTCAATCACATCATCATCAGTGACTGCCAGTTTCCCTTGTTTGTTGCATGAAACTCCCATTAAAGCCAAGTTCTTCAGGAACTCACAACCCAGGGCACCTGATCCCACCAAGAACACATTCGCATCTTCTAGTTTCTTCTGGAATTTATGCCCAAAAACTGAGATCTGGGCATCATAACGTGTATTTAATGGCTTGAGATCACTAGGATCTAGAGGCTCAGTTGGAAGTGATTCCACGGAGTCAAAGTAGAAGAACTGTTAACAAATTAAAGAGAAAAAAAGAGAGAATTAGTGAAAGTGGTGCAGGGGGAGAAGGGAAGGATTGAAAAAGAACTTCCAAAAAATCCAGGAACTAAGATAACAATGCAATGGACAGAATAACAGCAATTGTAACCTGAAAAAGTGGATGAAACTTCCCAGAGCAAGCCTTAACAACCTCCTGCCCAACAATACCCCCAAACATTGCAGCCATGGGATTAAGTTCAGCACCTGCACCAGAAGAAAATTGCTGTAAAAGTTTAGGGTTTATATCTTCCAATTTCCCCTCTCCCATGCTTTCATTTAAATCGGTCGCAATAGATATCAGCCTCTGAGCATCATCTTCTGAACCAGCAAGAGGAAACCTTGCCAATTCAGATCTGAACTTGTCTAATGCTTGGAATGCCAAATGCAACAGAGGCGGTCGCTCAAACTTCGAGAAATCACTAAGAAGAAAATCGCCAGGATCCCTGATAGCCTCGCTCAATGTCTTAAACTTCAAAAGTTTGGGCTGCTTCACCTGAGTGACAATACCACTTCTCTCATAGGGACCGAAGTTTGTTGTGTCCTCGTCGAGAGTAAAGGAATAAGGTCTTGCACTTCTAATTTTTCTTGGCTTGCCATCATTAAGTTCTGTCATGCCCCGTACTTCTGAAAACACAACTAGGTCTCCATCCTGAAACTCAAGCCTTTCATCATCCACACACGAAACAAGGGCAGGGTTATCATTACTAATTGATGCAATGATGCCCGTATGAGGTTCTTCACCATCTACATCAAAAACTGTGAATTCAGGGCCAAAATCACAGAAGACATAACCAAATAGACCTCTCACTTCAGTTCTGATAAATGCTATGGGGGGGTGATGATTGTGGCAGTAATCACTGAACTCCAGTGCATCCTCTAAGCTGGTGTTAGTAAATACCACAGCCTGCATTGAAATAATATAGGGAGTGTCGGCAGGAAATTATGATGTCAGTCATAGTAGAACTTTTACCAGCCCAACATCCAAATGAAAAGTAAAAGGAGATGAAAGATTTAGCAAATTGATATCCCTCAACAGGAACAAACTGCAAGAATCTGGCATGATTGAAGGCAGCAAGTGCACACTACAATCCCAAAAGTCCCAAAGCTTATAAAAATTCTCAGGTTGAACAAACTTGTTTCAATGGGCTAAGTCATGTCTCCTTATATAGAAATACTACCACAAAATGCACAAGTCATTTGGATACTCAGGCAGCACCAGCCAAAAGTCATAGTAGCAGTTGTATACACATCGACATGAAAATATGCAAATGAATGCAGCATCAGAAGATGTGAGCGAATCCACTTTTACAATTGCAATTATAAACTATGTCTCGGTCCTGAGCAAGTTACGGTCGGCTATACAAATCCTCACTGACCATATTTCTCTATTTTAAAATCATTTCAAGCCAGCATAAGGATACAAACACGCTTCTAAAATTGTGCCATATTGTATCCTAACTTCAACTTGAATCTTTAGGGTAAGATTTCTTGTACGAGTTCATCCCTTCTTCCTCCTGTTTCATTCTTTCTTTGGATTGATTATATCTGTCTTCCTTTGGATCAAATCTTGTTGGGACTATTAATTAGTAGGTTCTTGCATATTTGTTTGGAATTTGACTAATTATATTTGTTATTTCATTCATTCTTTAATTCTACCGATATTGTCCTGGGGTTTGAATGATCGTTGGTGATAACAACAATTCAAGTTATGTTAAATACTTGAGTTTTGTGTTATTCTAATCTGTAAAATTCCTTTATTCTATCTTAGTGGCATATTTGTTTTGTTCTGCTAATTTGTGGTATCAGTCTACAGACATCAATCATGTACAATTTCCACCTTTTCAGAAAAGTTCGAAGAATCAACCTGAGTTTGATCGGTAACCAAAATCCATAAAAACGAGGGATCTCTACCAAGAAAAATGTGTGAGCATGATTCAAATAACAGCTCTTATTAATTCAAAGAAGGATCCAC